AAACCAAACCAAACCAAACCAAACCAAACCAAACCAAACCAAACCAAACCCAGATAACACAAAGGACTAGAAATTGGGTCCTGGACCATTTCAAGGTGCTTAGACTGCTGGTTACAAACGAGTGCTCCCATTGGTATGTCTGTTTTTAGAAGACCCCCTTTCTACCACCTGCCAGAGCAAATCGGTCATCTTTCTTATATGTGAGAACCATCTTTACTAGAGAAACATTAACTTGGAATAGGCAGGCCTTTAAGATTTTTCTCCTTTTCTTTTTTTTCCTTTTTTTGGTTTCCAGTTTTTATCTAGATCACACTGGTTTACTAGTTTTTATATATACATATAAATCACTGGGGGGGGGGGGGAAATGGCATTTCTAACAAACTTCTAACCCACTGCTAAGCTCTAGTTCACATGGATACAGTTGATAGGGTTTTCGGTGAAGTTGTAATGTTAATAATCACATACATTATTCTTACCTCTTTTTCTCCTCTGAGGGAACTGCCCTTTAACTAGCTTTAGAGTTGGGTTGCATGGCCTGCTGTCTGTTCTGGGTGCAGTTCTTTTACCAGTGGGGCGGCCCAGGCTCACCCGCTTACTTGGCAGTGTAACAGCTGATGTGCTAGCCTTCCTCTTTGGCTGAACTCTCTGATTGGAAGATGGGATCAGAGCTTTCTTCTTCACTTTCCATGTTCTCCCAGACTTTTCTGCTGTTTCAGTTTCTTTTCGTCTTTCCATCTCTGAGTCAAGAAATTCAGGATCTGGTGTCATAACTAAAGAAAATCCAACATCACAAACCCCATCTGAAATGGAAGGGGCCTGAGGATGCTCTGCCAACAATTCCATAGCATCAGACAGATCCAGAGTATAACCAGTAGGGTCTGAAAAATAACACTTCAGATGAGTCCAGGACTCTGAAGGGCACGTTTCAAGGGGGAGAGGCAAGTCAAAACCATGGGGCAGTTTCCCAGTGGATGCAGTATCTTTCACTCCATCTTGAAGAGGAGCCATCAAAGAAAGGCTTTTGTCCACCTTGTATAGCTCTTGGAAACTATGCTTTACTAAGATGTTTGGAGGGATTCTTTCTTCACAAAGTGATTTCTTTGCTTCTAGAAGTGCATAACTAAGGGCAGGTAAAATAGGTATCACTTTCAAAGAGATGCCATCTTCAACTTTCAAATCCTTTGCTCCTAAAATATATACATACATACATATATACATTAAAAATTCAATAGTATTTTAAGACATATAGGAGAAAAAAATGCTATAGATTACAAATTTATTACCAGGTTAAATATGCTTGCTACATTATTGAAAATGAAAACATAAAGGGGAACTAGTAAGTTTTATGGGTATATTTAATGAGTATCTATCTCCATGTATTTATATCAAACACACACCAAAAAATGATTTGATATGCAAATAACTGTTACAATGAGTAAAATAATCCTGTCTCCAGATCCATCTCATCTACAGGAGAGACAGAGTTCAGTGGGCATTCACAGTAGCAGCAAGGCCCTAAGGACAGGCAGACTGTATCCTACTTCACTTGTATTCTTTGAGACACTATAATGGAAAACGAAGTGAAAGTGCAAAGGCTTTAAGCCTTAAATACCACGTAAATAACAGCTGTTATTTTACTTCTCTATAAACTTATATTTTATACATATTTTAAAAACTAACTCTACTGTGTAATCTGTACTTTATTTCATTTCCCTTCTTATTCTTTGATTATTTTGTTTTTTGTTTTTAAATCAAACAAATAACCTTATAAATGAGAAAAAGGAAAATGTCAGTTCTCTATGAACTAGTTAACAAAATTCTAGAACATTTCAGTTACCAGTAATATAAACCTACAGAAACAACTCTAGTGCCTACTAAATGGAAATAGGAATTACAACATCTTTCTAAAAACTATCTCCAGATTTATGAAATAACCAATTAGTCCTAGTTAAATACAATAATACTGTAGCAAATATTGGAAAGGGCAAAGGGGAAATTATAAAAAAGTAAATGTAATTAAATAGTAAAATAAAGTTTATTTCTTCAAGGCTCATCACTCAGAGTACAAAAAGGAAAAGAAAATATAGAAAAGGTCTGTACATATGAATGGAGCTGATCTCCAGATGGGAGGCTTACCTAAGCTGTGGGAAGTGCACCCAGAACTTGGTTAGGGGTAGGGTTAGGGTTAGGGATAGGGTTACTGCTTCCTCTGAGCAGTGGTGGTGGCACATCTTTAATCCTAGCACTCAGGAAGCAGAGGCAGAAGATCTCTGTGAGTTCCAGGCCAGCCTGGTCTACAAATCGAGTTCTAGAAGAGCCAGGACTATGCAAAGAAGCCCTTTCTGGTGTGTGTGTGTGTGTGTGTGTGTGTGTGTGTGTGTGTGTGTGTGTGCGTGCCTGTGTTTGTGTGTGTATGTGTGTATGTGTGAGCCATGTAGAAACAAGAGAAACAAGCAAACAAAAAACTGAAACTGTCTCAATGAGAAAAAGCAACCCAACACTGTTTGTATTCATTCATACAGCATTCCTGTGTTTTTCCTGGGTACAAGTAATGGTTCTTATCCAACCCCAAGAGGAGAAATGAAGACTGGGGATGTAACTCACTAGGACAGGGCTTAAGACACATAATGAGACCCTGGATTAAATCTCTAGCAGAAAGGAACCAGGGGGAGCTGACAAAAGTGAAGAATATGACCATAAAGCTTTTAAGACGTTTGTACTTTTTATTTGTATGTGTGATTACATACATATGTACAAGTGCTGGCATTAAACCCCTCTGGAGATAGAGTTAAGGGCTGAGCCACCTAATGTGGGCTCTGGGAACCAAAGTTGGCTCTTCTAGAAGAGCAGCAACTGCTCTTGCCCATTGAACCATTTCTGCAGCTCTAAAATAAAAAAAAAATCTAACAAAAAAAAAAATAAAGCAGCATGGTATGGTAGTCAAGAGCCAACCCTAGAATCAGGTTAACACTTTAAGGATTGCTAAATCAATTATCCTTAGAAAAATACATAACACAATAAATGTGAATATCCTTTGTCAATCTGTTGGTATAATTGGTTGTTTTATTTGTTCCAAAATATCAAAAAGTACTGCTCTCTTCTTTGATCACCAGAATATACATAAATTTTTAAAAATCAACTTTAAGGGGCTATAGAGATGGGCTCATGAGTTAAAAAGCAGCAATTGCTATTACAGAGAGTCTGAGTTCAGATCCCAGTACCCAAAGAAGCTCAAATCTACCCAAAACTCCAGTTTCTGAGGTCCCAACACCTTCTTCTAGCCTTCAGGGTCACTGCACACATGTGGTGCATACATACATACATGTAGGCAACACACGCATACATAAACTAAAATAAATCTTTTAAAACAACTTTAAAACATTTTAGTGTTGGCTGTAAGTTTAAAGAAATACTAATTTTAGCATTATCCTTAAACACATACAGAAAAATTTAAATGCAAATTGCTTTGTTACAAATTTATTTGCTCAGAGCTAATTTTTTTCAGATGTCTGGCACACATATGCTCTGAAGATATATACAATGCAGCCAAGGTAGATATTATCCTGGGGATGTAGCCCAGTTGTAAATTGCATACTCAGAATCCCAGTATCACAAACCAAAAGTCAAACCAAGCACACTAATACATTTGTATGTCAAGCACACCCAGATGTGGTGGCAAATACCTATACTATAATCCCAGATGATGTACTCCTCAGGATCAAATCCAGAGCCTTATGTTGGAGGAGACTAGTACTCTACCGAATGAGTTACATCTGCATCCCACAAGTGTTTTAACTGCAACATCACACATTGTATAGCTGTTTAGGTACTATATTATATGACTTGACCTATGGTAATCTGAATTGAGAATGTCCTTTATAAGCTCAGATGTCTCAATGTTGGTCCCCAATTGATGGCAGTTGTTTGGGAGGTTTGACGGTGTGATCTTGCTAGATGAAGTATGTCACTGTGGGCAAACTTTAAGGTTTCAAAAGCCCTGTGCTAGTATGTTCTCTTGGCTTGCAGTTCTAGCACCCATGCCTGCTGCCTCCATTCAACCATTACAGATTCTAGCTCTCTGGAAGTGTAAGCCCAAATAGACCCTTCTTTCTATGTTGCCTTAGTTATGGTGTTTTATCATAACAACAGAAAAGTCACTAATAAATGATTAATATAATTTTTTGTGTCTAAGAGCCATGTGTTTGTCCTCAGGGTCAGTATCATGTTGGGAATACATGGTCCAAATACAAAGACTTACAGTCTAGATAGCAAGAGTAGCCATGAAAATCCTGAGGCATAGCTTTTTGACAGACTGTAGGAAAAGTATGTCTTAGCTACTGTTGAACAACAAATGGATTCAATTTTAGATATGCTGAATTTTAGGAAGTTTAGATATCATGCTAGATATGTCAGTATGTGGAGACACAGGTCTGAAGCTTAAGAGTCCACTTGCAAAGGAAGTCAACTAGGAAGGTTAAAGAAAGACAGTTGCTTAAGGGAAAAAACACAGTTAACAAGTGCTCTGTGCTAATAAATCAGCGAGTAAGGTAAGGACTGGAAAGTACCCAAACCCAACAGGATGAGTGGACTGGGTACCACTGGAACCCTACCTGCTGATTGAGGTGCATGGAATAAATGTAAACCATGTAGACTCATCTGCTCATTTCCAAAATCTGTAAAAGTAAAAATCAGGAGAAAAAGAAAGTATGTTGTTGATCTCATGAAACAAAAATAAATATATTAAAATTTTTTCTCCCTAGAAAGCTTGTCCTTACCTGGTTCTGGAGTTAAGGCCGAAGATGTAAGTAAAATGAAAAAACTCCTATCTTCCAAGCATTTGATGAGTGCCTTAAACATTAAAAAATGAATAGGTGTCACTTATACCGTTTCCAGCTACGGAGGGCTCTGCATATTATGTCAACTGTTCTAAAATAACCAGAGCGATGGTCAGGAGGGGTTCTGTCTCTTCCCATTCAAGTGGAAACCCTGGCTGGAAGCCATAGGACAAACTATCATCCAGAAAAGGGCAAAGCTGTAAGAAAAGTGTCCTGAACAGCATTTAAATCCTATTTTACTACCTAGACTGAGAAAGTAAGCTTATAAAACCTCTCAAAGATGAAGGCTAGCTTAGGTTAATGTTATTTGCAACTCAAGAGTATTTTAATCAACACTACCATTAAGACAGGCCACTGTCCCAAAACACACACATGCACGCCAGGTCTATTTTACTTTCCTTTGCCTTATCTATCAGAGGAACAGACAAGAGCTGGCTTGCTTCATTACTGTCAACATTTGCATCATTTCCTTTGGACTATTCAGAAATCACAAAAGGTGGATCAAACTCTGGGTGAAGCATCTATCTTCACACAAAGAACCCTAACATGACAGTTTTTTTTCCTTTATTTTTTTTAAAAAATTTATATATATATATATTAAACACACTATTGCTGTCTTCAGACTTGCCATAAGAGGACATTGGATCCAATTAGAAAGTTGTGAGCTACCATGTGGTTGCTGGGAATTGAACTCAGAACCTCTGAAAGAGCAATCAGTGCTCTTAACCACTGAGCCATCTCTCCAGCCCCAACAGAATTCTTTAAATCAGTAGCTATTTCTAAGTCTCATTTCTTCTATTATGAAAAAGAAGAAACAACTTGTATAAACCCCTGGATAATGGTTAAAAGTGGCTTTCAAAGAAGCATCTCAGAAGTGGTATTATGACTAATGTAAATGCACTAGATATCTAATCAATGTATCAAGAAAACAAAGACTTGTTCTTTTAGTTAGGAATATAAGCTGACTAATGAGACACAAAGGTAAGCTGAGACGTAAGGAAAATGAAAATGTCAGCTACAATAGTATGTCAGTTAACATTAACAGTGAAAACCCTCCTGGTAAGCTAAATAACGCAGTGAACACTTAGGTACCAATTTCCTAGTTTAAGGAAAAAATTAATAATTATACTTGAAATTATTGATTCTTACCAATTCCTTATTTTTAACATATTCCATTAGCTTATCTATGTGTTCTCCTTGTTTGTTTGTCAATTCAACTTCATATAAATCAAAGCATAAATCTTGATAACAGACTGTAGAGGGAATCGGAAACAGAGAACATTTTAAATTTTAATTAAAACCATTCCCTAGTTTTATCACGTTTTGATCCCATACACTCCACTGCCCTTTCTTCAGGACATGTACATACGTACCTATGTACATACGTACCTACACAGAGGGTCTCACTATGTATTCTTGGCTAGCCTGGAACTTGCCATATAGACCAGAGTGACCTTGAACTCACAGAGACCTGTCTGCCTGTCTCCTTACAGTTGGGATTAAAGCTACATGCCACCACATCTTGCCTTGGGATTTTAAAAAAATTTTCTTAACAATTTTGAAAATATTAATTTTTTAAAGATGTATTTATTTTTATTTATATGAGTACATTATAGTTGTCTTCCGATACACACCAGAAGAGGGCACTGGATCCCATTCCAGATGATTGTGAATGTGGTTACTGGGAATTGAACTCAGGATCTCTGGAAGAGCAGTCAGTGCTCTTAACCCGTAGACCATCTCTCCAGCCCATATCTATTGTTTAAACCCTTCTTAAAATGTACTTTAATTGTAACACTTAAGAGAGGCAGAGGCCAGCCTGATCTACATAGTGAGTTCCAAGGCAGGTACGATTATGTAATTATGTAATGAGACCCTATCTCAAAATTTAAAAAAAAAGTTCTCTCTTATATTGCTACAAAATTAACAAAATAAATACTAGACAAAAATATCAGTGTTTCATGAATTACATAACCCAAAATTTTCTCATATTTTATTTTTGTTATTTTTCTTTTGAAAAAGGATCTCACAATGTTGCCCTGGTTGGCCTAGAACTTTCAATGTAGATCAGGCTGGTCTCAAACTCATAGAGATCCATCCGCCTGCTTCTGCCTCCCAAATGCTGGTATCCTATTTGTTGTGAACTTAACAGTATTTAAATTCAAAACAATAAAAACTGTTGTGCATGAGAGGAATGGTTCTGGGTTTTGAGCTATTTTTTAGTATATCTGTTCAATTCTCTAAGCATTCTCTATTAAAGTCAAAGTTTTGTCATCTTTGATGAATCTGCCAGTTTGTAACTGACTTCCAAGGAGTGGACAAAATGGTAACTCTACAACTTCCTCAAAAGACCATTTTAGCCGGGCAGTGGTGGCGTACGCCTTTGATCCCAGCACTTGGGAAGCAGAGGCAGGCGGATTTTTGAGTTCGAGGCCAGCCTGGTCTATATATAGAGTGAGTTCCAGGTCAGCCAGGGCTACACAGAGAAACCCTGTCTCAAAAAACCTAAAAAAAAAACAAAAACAAAAACAAAAACAAACCCAACCATTTTAATAAGTATTTAAGATGAAATTTAGACATGTTTGTGAATGTATGGACCACAGAGTGGACAAGAATCCAAGAAAGCCCAGGATATGGAGTTTGCCATTACATTTCGACACACCTTTCTGCTCCAAGTAATTCTGTCTTCTAAAGGCAGCTTCTGGTAGGCTTTCTTTCAGAGAAGACACTTTCATTACATACTTAAAATCTAGTTCCCAGGGCCTAAAAAACAAAAACTCATAAAGCAGTGTAATAAATACTGACATGAGCTTATCACTTTCTAACGCAAATGCAAACAGAAATATAATCATAAAAAAGTCTTTAAAGGGCTGGAGAAACAGTTGTTAAGAGAGTGCATGTACTGCTCCTATCCTACAGAAAACATGACCCTGGCTCCCACACCCACACTGGGGAGCTTATGACTCCCTCTTTTGGCCTTTACTGGCACCTGTACATACATGCACATTCCCACATACAAAGTATACATACACACACAATTACTTTTCAAGTCATTAATTTCTGGGTTAGATTATAAATATATAACATACATTATATGTGTATTTATATTTATATAGACAATATAGATTCTCACACATATGACCTGCAAATGATAATACAAACATGTTCACATTTTATGAATACATGTATTTTTAGAATGGCCAAAATATTTAGATGTGTTAAAATTATGTATTCTAAAACTGAAAATTTTCATAAATTATACTAAGTTAAGATTCTCTGCAATACTGGGTTATATCATAGAATGAGTCACATGCAGATCTTCATTGTATCATCTCCCAAGTACTTTTTCTTTATAATTTATTTTCAAATAGTATCAGACTTATGTAAAAGTTGCAAAAATAGCACAAGAAATTCCTACAGTCTATTACGTTGCTCTCAACATGCTTTGATTTTTCCTTCCTCCCTTCCTTCCTTCCTTTTTTTTGAGAGACATATCTGATGTCTTTTAATCCTCAAATAATTGGGGTTTCCCCACCAAAAGAACATTTCCTTGCACAACAAATTACCAAAAATTAAGAAATTAACAACTGTAGACTACTATTACTTATCTTATACCTTATCCAAATTTTGCTAAGATTCTTCAAAAACCAAAACATAAAACCACCAACAAAAACAGATTGGGCATGTTGCAAATATATTGCAGGATATTAGATCACACTGTAAACCCCTAATTGTGGTATTTATTTACTGGAAAAAACAGTTTTTAGTTGTGGTGTGCTTCAGCCTTAGCCCATACTTTTAATCCAACAACTTTTTGCTTGAATATTGTAAACAAGATTAAAGTCAACCGTAGGTCAAGAGGTGGAACAAGCAACCAGTTGACAGGAAGTCAAAATAGGATTATTAAGAGAGAGAGTAAGTGGGAGTTGGGAGGATCGATAGAGACACAATGGAAGGAGAAAGGAGGGACAATTGAGTTTTAAGGAGAGTTTTGGAGATGATATGAGAGAGGACATTCCTTCTGGGATGCTGACTGAGGAGTTTGATCAGCCTCTCTGAGTTAGCGCCTTTCACCCCAGCATCTGGCTTCTGAGTTTTCATTAGTAAAAATAGAGTAATGGAGATTTTGTTTAAAAAAACAACACATATATATTCATGCATACATGCATGCACAAAATGTATACACGCATAACAGTAATAATCAAGAAAAAGATGCTAAATAAGTCAAGAAAAAAGATGCTAATCTATTTAAGGAGGATGTGGAAGAAGCTTGAGGGAAGGGAGCTGGGGGGGGCTAGAGGAAAGGAAGGGTGTAATGCGATATAATTCTATTTCAATTAAAAGCACAAGTAAAAACTTAAAAAAAAGGTTGGGTGATGGTGATTTAGCCTTTAATCCCAGCACTCCAGGAGGCAGAGGCCTGCCTGCATCCTGGTCTGCAGAGCAAGTTCCAAGATGGCCAGGGCTATACAGAAAAACCCTGTCTCAAAAAACTGAAAAACCAAAACCAACCAAACAAAAAACACTTAAGAAAATAGATTTTCAGTTATCTCTTCGATTAATATCCAAGTTGTAATACTGAAAAACATGCAAATAACCAAAATTTCACCTGTTTTATCATCTACTTGAATACTATATGCTATCATTTTTCCTATATTAAGCAACTACACTGTATGGCAAGAAAGAGCTTTTCCTTCTTTTAAAATTATTTTTTCACAAAGTTCTTACTTTACTAATTATGAACTATACTCTCCCTGCACTCTGTTCTTATAAATAGCCAATGGAAAAGGAACTCTGACAGAAATCCAATTATCATATCTCAACTAAACTATATCTATGCTTTAGTAGTAGGGAGTACAAAAGTATGAATAGACCAAACAAGATTTCTTAAAGATATCCTTTGCAGTTCCTCAGGAGAAAAACAAAACAAAACTTCATTATCATAATTCATCATACTATAAACAGATTTAACAGCTACTTTTAGTATTTTTTTCAAATAAGAGAACCATGTGACTATTAGAACATCAGATACTATTAATTTTAATGAGTCAATAATAGAATTGAGGGGCTATAATTTGCTGTATTATTTCCTCTGTGGACAATTCTAATTTGTTTTAGAGAAAAAGAAAACTTCTAATATAAAATAATCTAATCAGGCATGGTAACAGATACAAGTAGCCCCAAGTCAATCAGGAGGCTGAATCAGTGAGCCCTTGAGCCCGTAAGTTCCAAACCAACCTGGGCAATATAACAAGACCCCATCTCAACTACAGCAATAGAAGTATCATTTTCTCTTTAAGGATTAGAATTTAGGTGGTCTGTGTACTTAGTACTCTACACAATCAAAAGCATCCTAGCATAAAACCAGGTAAACTCACTCTATTTCACACCAATCCTATCCATTACAATACTGAAATGAGTACCCAGCAATGGAAAAACAAAACATGTATTAAGGATGACAGCCAACATAATACTTACAATTGTACTGGAACCACTGTGCCATAAGTAGACCGAAGAGTTACATCACACAGCAAACAACCCTGAATAATTAACTGCCCTTTCCACGGAGAGCTGAGAGCTTTAAGAAATAAGGACAAAAAGCAGCTGATTACATTGTGAAACATTTATCAAAACAACAACAAAAACCACAAGAGCTAATTAATTTCTTACCATTTTTACTGAGCTCAAGTCTAGAAAGAAACAAAAAGTTTTTTATTAGGGAATAAGAAACAAATCAAATAAAAATATGCATTTATTATTTTATTATTACTCACATGCTTTTATAAGTGGGTGCTGCCATCTTTTAGGTTCCTTGTGCTGAAAAGCTACAATTATACAAGGACAGGTCTGTCTGGGTCATTTAATAACAGTGTAACCTGAAAGTTCAAAGAGGTAATGCTGAAAGAAGGAAAATAAGTATTATTAGCACTATGGAACTGCTATGAATTAAGTTTATCCCAACCTCAGCCAAATCTGAAACTTAGGACATTAAATTAAGAATTTTTTTTTTAGGTATAATTTACTCACAGTGACTTAGTTTGAAGGCACGAAAATGACTTCTTTTGTAAGAAACTTTGTAGGTATCTGCATCCACATAGCAGTCAGAGCCATAAGATGGCCTAGGATAGTTAGTTACCTGTATAATTCTCAGACACAAACTTGAGTTTTCCCTAGAATCAAAACATAAGAGTCATCAGAAGTATTCAAATAGCAATAGTCTTAACAGTAAGGTTTATTTTAAAAGTAGCCTAATAGGGATGTAGATGTGTTTTTTTCACCAGTAACCAAAATAAAACTATGCTTCTTAGAAAAATAATCATCTTAGAACCATTAATGGTTTTAATCACCCACAGGTACTTTAAACTTAAAAAAAAAAAAAAACTGTGCTTGTATATCTTTCTGAGGTTTTTCATCACACAAAGGAATACATGATCAGACCAATTATCTTTAATGAAACTTCACTGAATGGCTATGCAGTGATTATAATACAAAATAAGACAAATGAAATCTAAATTATCAAAAGATGAGTTTCTAAACCAAAGTATTAATGAACTGTAAATTACAGCAGTGCCCTGAACATCTTCAAGGGGCAAGCATGTAATAAAGTGTTCATTAAGCAGGTACCCCTAACAAGTGAATGATCAATAGTATTTATCATGGTAGATGAAATGAAGAACTAAAAGTCAAATTTACTGGTGTTGAATGTGTAATTCAGTAGTAAAATGCTTACCCAATGTGGACAAATATGGTAAAAAAACTTTAGTTTTGATTCCTAGTGATAGAAAAAAGTCAAGTTTTCTTTCATTTTTTTAAAATTTACTTTTATTTTATGTGCATTGGTATTTTGCCTGCATGTATGAGAATGTCAGATCCCCTAGAACTGGAGTTATAGACAGTTGTGAGCTGCCATGTGGGTGTTGGGACTTGAACATGGGTCCTCTGGAAGAGCAGCCAGTGCTCTTAACCACTGAGCCATGTCCCCAGCCCAAAAGTCATGTTTTAACATATGATGAAATGTCAAGAACAATTAAGTGTGAAGGGGGAGAGGCTCATAAGCTTCCTTTACTTGCTGAGGAACTACTGACAGATGACAACTTGTGGGGGAGGAACCTTTCTCTTCAAGGGTGTGGCCCTATTATGTCCACCACACTCCAGTGTGTGACCACACTCATGATTATATATATAGACAGTACAAACTGGACTTGGTTGGTTGTTTTTAAAAAAGTACAGGAAGTTCAGAAGGGGCAGGGAAGTGGAAGAAGGATCTGAGAGGAGTTAAAAGGAGTAAATATCAAAATACATTATATGAAATTCTCAAAGAATTAATAAAAATATTACATTAAATAAAAAAGACCAGGTGCTGGCTCAATGATTAAGAACACTGGCTATTCTTCCAGAATCTGGACTTAATTCCCAGCACCCAAATAATAGCCAGAAACTGACTGAAACTCTAGTTCCAGAGGATCTGGTCTCCTCAGACACTAGGCACACACAAATATAGTATACAAATATATGTATAAGCAAAATATTCATACTCAAACCTGTATACTGTACAGTCCTATTTACATAGATGTCTTGAATAGACAAATCGAAACAAGTGGGAGATAATCAACTAGACTAGATTAGTGACAATTTCACAAACCTGAATACCTGAGACCTGCTCCACACACACATACGAGAGAGAGAGAGAGAGAGAGAGAGAGAGAAAGAGAGAGAGAGAGAGAGAGAAAGAGCGCGAGCGCCCAAGACCATATAGTTTAAATGGGTGAATACTACCGAACAGGAAAACATCAGAAATCTAGCCACCATACATTATGATCCTTTTTAGTCCTCAACGTTAATTTCACCTAGTACTGACTGCTAAGCACCCCTCTTCTTGAATTCCTGATGTTTTGGGCAGCATACGCTCCTCCACTTCCCCATTATCTAGTTCTATTAATGTCCCAAAGATTTTGGCCACCTATTCCTTCTAAACCATCTCATATGGTATCTTGATTTCAACTGATAGCCCCAATCCTGGTTTAGGTGGATCCCTCCCTAAATTATTTTAATTGTCTGCAAGGCTATTTCAGAAACATAAAAGGCTGAATGTTTCTCTAATTCAGAAAAGTAGTACCTATCCACTTCCTGAGAAATTACTAAGTATAAGTTCCTTGGCTAAAGACTTAAATGTCATTTAATGCTCACAGTAATGCTACAAAGTTATTTTCCAAACGAGAAACTAAAGCATAAAACTTTCATGTTAATCATGTTTTTTAAACAATAGTTAAAATTACCTATTTATAGCTAATGTTACCTATTTATACCCTCGAATTTATCAGCTTCTCTTTCAGTTTTTTCTTCCTGACTCCTTTCTACTCACAGTACTAGTGCAATCTATTGAAAGCCTTATATTCTCTTACCCTAACATTCCACAGTTGTCAAGTTTGCTCAAGTCTACCTGTTCTCTATTCTTATGTCATAATGACAGTATAAGAGAAACAGTATGAAAGTAACAGTCTCTTGGCATTTAAAAACACCTTGTTTTACATTCAAAACTCAATTATGTCTAAACTCCTAACTGAAAATTATGACCTGCTCAATACTGATGAATCTGGCTTTTATTATGGTCATCTCAGGGAATTAACTAAACCTCATTTTATTTTGTAGAGAAGAAATTCACTTTCCTCAGACCTACATCTGCCTGAATTGTTCAAAGGGCTAACAGCACAATAATAAAGCTATTTTGATTATAATTCTTCAAATGAAATATTTATTCTATGTTTATTATAAATCTTCAAATGAAAATTATAAATCTTAAAATAAAATTTCTATAATCTATAAAGCAATCTACAATTTGGCCACTGTATTCATGGTTCAAAACAAGCTCATGTAGAGCAACTATGTTTTAATTGATGATGTAGAAATTTTCATAAAGTTTTATCATTTCTATTAACAAAGATATCACAAGCAAAGCCAAACTTTTTGAAAGAAAAATTAGTGCAAGTCCATTGTATGTTTTACTCCTATTTAGACGATTAGTTTAAATAACCACAGGCTTTTCTGTTATTTTACAGTCCTTATATGTTAGTTCCAATTATTTTTTAGGTAAATCTGTCTTTGTTTCTCGTAACAGTTCTCTTCCAAAGGACCCAGACTCAATATTCAGCACCTACTTGGTAGCTCACAACTGTCTAACTTCAGGGGATCTGAACACCTCTTCTAGCCTCTGTGGACACCAGGAACACATGCGGCACACACACATATATGTGGACAAACACTGGAACACATTAACACTCCCCCCAAAAAATCCAATTCAAAAACACAAATTCAAAGCTGAGTATGATACACTTGCCAGAGGAAGTAAGATCTTCAGTCTGATGTCAGACTCAAAAAACAGACCATCAATATTTGAAATACAAATATAGTAATATATCTCTTATGATATAATTTGAACATTACTTATCTTAGACTAAAATTTAACAAGTTGTAACTATGGACACTACAATTTAAAATTTTTTGCTTTATACATCTAAATTATAACTGAAATTTAATTATTCTACTTTAGACTTGGCATAATGTTATTTTATCCTTGTACTAGTCAAATGCTGATTTCTCTGCCTCAATATCTGGTTGCTATCAGGACATGACATTGTAATGCTTATTTCAAGTATCTCTTGTCTCAGTGTTATATAAACACTGCTCCCCATTCATTTTCTACTTTGGAGAGATGGGAAAGGGAAAGAGAGCAAGCATGCTGAGCAGCCAATGACTGAACAGAAGTGAGAATAGAGCTGGGCTTCCAATTCCAGTGAGGAAAGGGGTAGAAGGAAGAGATTTGGCCATGAGGTGAGCGATCAGCAGCTACTATGAGAACACGAATGAAGCAGAGAGCCCGATGAATACTAAAATGCAAGTATCTCAGAGATGTTGGCTCAGAAACAGATCTATTAGTTTAGAGGATTAGAATAGACTAATACTTGCTCAGCTATTGTGTTATAAAATTTATTTAACAAAAATAGTCCCTGTTTTGATTATTTGGGAGGTAGTTGGGTTAGAAAAAAAGACTACCACTACTAAATTTCTTACAATATAGATTCAATCATAGCTTATAACACTGTTCTGATTTGGGCCCCATCTCAATCATCTCTATGGAAAGCTAGAAAGAAGGTCTATTTCTATCTTCAATTCTTGACACAGTCATGTTCCTTGTTAACGTCAAAAATTCTAAAGAGAAAAGGGCAATGATAAAGTGAACAAATGTTTACCAAGCATCTAATTTGCATTTGAATAAATCTGTGAAGTTTACATTTCTCCCAAGTCTTAGGTATGTCCTAGCTTTTACCAATGCCACAGAAGCTAACATCTATTCAGTTCTCAGTTCATGCTGAGTGGTGGTGGGAAATGCCTTTAATTCCAGCACTTGGGAAGTAAAGGCAGGTGGATCTCTGCAAGTTCAAGGCCAGCCTGGTCTACAGAGTGAGTTCCAGGACAGGCAGGGCTACCGCAGAAAAAAACTCTGCCTCAAAAAAACCACAAACAAAAAGTTCATACTTGGACAACTAAACTGAATAACACCCCCCACCCCCATTGTACTACATTTATGGATTTTTTGTTTGCCGCACAAAATCCATAAAAAAAGCTTGTTCCACAGAAAAATATTAGTTTGTTCTAAAAGCAATAACATATTGAAATGCTTTTATTCCAAGTCTTTAACTGTTAATAACACAGAAATTATGCTTACAGGAATAATTTTCTCTCTGAAAAAAATATTTTGAGACAAAAAGCAGAGATCATATAGTTGCATATTTGCTTTGATACAATAAAAGTAAAATAAAATAAAATCACTCCACACCCTAAATTAGTAATCTATTCATTAAGCAAAATAGTCTCTATTGTAGCGAAACAAATAGAAGGAACTCAGATTAGAAATCAAAGACATGAGAAAAAAATATCAGTACCATAACTGTGAAGGAATATGTAGACCAAGAAGCATATTATGTTGTATTTACTATAAAGAAGATAATTTGAACTCTCTAGCAAATTATTTAAATTCATACAGAATTATGTAATTATGTGCTATTTCAAAATAGCAAATACATTTAGATATTTCAATTTACCCAGTGGCAGCTGCCTTTAAAAAAAAAAGTGGGGGAACTGGAAAGTATATCCACTGAATTAAAAAATTGTA